CAAGGAGTTTCAAATTGAGCGGCGCATATTGCTGTGAAAATTTCTACCCAAATGGGAACACCAATGTTCCTGAAGCCATGTTACCAACAAGGACCTAACTCTTGGCATTTCGAATAACTGGCACTGCTTATGAAAAGACGGCAGGCGCATTCTTCTCTAACCTGTGAAGATTGTAGGCCAGATCAATTCCAACGAGGACCCCAGTGGGGGAGGGGTAAATGCTCATGTTATCAGTAGTGTAGTCAAGGTATTTGGCGCGTGCGTATCTCTCGATGTCATGAGAGTCGTAGTCACCCCAGCGAAGTTGTACATCGACCCAGTATTTCTGAGTTGTGGTGCTATCCATGATGTCACTACGAATGAAGTGAAGATTTCTTTAACATACTAAGCGGCATTAAATTTATCCTTGTAATATCAATACACATTCAAGCAAACGCATCATAAAAATGGACGAACACTTGCCTCCAAGCAGTCTTCCAGACACTTTTTCGTCCTATAGATTTTTCCAAAGAAATTCAACGAGCGCACGAGACGTGAGCCACTTACACAACTCCCACAACCCATGCACTGGCGAACACAAAATCCCTCGCAAATTTTTCGACTATGCCGACTCATCAACAATAACTATTATCAAACACGACTAAAAGGGGCCTAGTGATCCATGGTGGAGTTGTAAGAAATGCCTAAAAATATGTATTAGCAAAAGGCATCTTGTATCGCTTAAATTTGAGAGGGCTCATTTGTTACAAACCGAAGTGAAGACAGCCGAGAAAGAATGGAAGCAAATATAATCGAAATGATTTGTTTTAACTGCCAGTGTTTTCCTACAAGGCTGTTATCAACTGTTCATGCACGTTAAGAGAATTTGAGAACGAAAAATGGAGAGACGTACTTGGAATCAGCCAGAATAGAAGGTTTGGAGACGTTCCACTTGTATGCAGCAAACAAGAGGATATCAGCGCATGAGCTGTTCATCTTGTACGATTTACGAGGATGAATAGTTTCTTTCTGCACTGTCTCAATCTCCAGAGCATCCAGTTCTTGATCAAAAACCTACAATAATTATGACAACCAACAGTTACATTACAGTTAATTAAATTAAGTCCGTGGTTGAATAATAAATTTTAAAAGAGAGAGATCAGAAGAGATCCTACGCCAAAAGGCTAACATCATGGGTAAATTACTCCTTAATTTTGGCGCCAAATTTCAGCGTTAATTTATAATTTATATTCAAGATAGCGTCGAAGTTTAAACATGTTATGAATGAAGAAAACCTAAATACGCGAAAGAGTACATCAAAGAGCATTCTAACAGGTGTTTTGTCGAAAAATTCAGAAACTTGTGAACATAAGCAAAAAAATATGCTCTAAACTTTTCAGTGCGTAGAGTTCTCTATCGACACGATAAACATGTCAAAAAATGTACGAGTGTGNGAATCAGCCAGAATAGAAGGTTTGGAGACGTTCCACTTGTATGCAGCAAACAAGAGGATATCAGCGCATGAGCTGTTCATCTTGTACGATTTACGAGGATGAATAGTTTCTTTCTGCACTGTCTCAATCTCCAGAGCATCCAGTTCTTGATCAAAAACCTACAATAATTATGACAACCAACAGTTACATTACAGTTAATTAAATTAAGTCCGTGGTTGAATAATAAATTTTAAAAGAGAGAGATCAGAAGAGATCCTACGCCAAAAGGCTAACATCATGGGTAAATTACTCCTTAATTTTGGCGCCAAATTTCAGCGTTAATTTATAATTTATATTCAAGATAGCGTCGAAGTTTAAACATGTTATGAATGAAGAAAACCTAAATACGCGAAAGAGTACATCAAAGAGCATTCTAACAGGTGTTTTGTCGAAAAATTCAGAAACTTGTGAACATAAGCAAAAAAATATGCTCTAAACTTTTCAGTGCGTAGAGTTCTCTATCGACACGATAAACATGTCAAAAAATGTACGAGTGTGAGCATAATTGGTTACCCATGTCACCATGACATTAAATAATAGGTAATCAAATGGTATACTTGTAAAATTAGGGAATACCGGTAACTTCACTTGCGTTTAGCACAAATTCTAATACTTGATTACCGACACCTACTAAGTCCATACATACAAGTTAACGTTCATTTTAAAACTCATCCCTTACAGTGTAACAAACTCAACCGGACCCTGCAACGACACTTTGAAATTGAAAGACATCTTTTCGTTTTTGATTGGCAAACGAACTGTACCAATTTTGTTGTTATGTTAATGTGACCCGTGATTGGTTGAATAATGGTGGCCCCGTTTGAGTTCGTTGCATTGAAAATTACTTTTATACGTAAGGCCAAACGTTCACGATGATTGCAAAGCAAACGTTTTTCAAAAAAGTCATCAAAGTGAATAAGTTCTTACACGGGTAACTGTCTCCATTTACGTTTTCCTGAAATGCCTGAGCATACCTTAACGTACATTTTGCAAACACTGCCGACGCAACGCGTGACAAGCTCAGTGCCATGGTATCGTGTACTTGTTAATTAACAGATACTCAAGCATTTAAAGTAGCGTTCGATTGATTTTATTCCGAAATAAAGATACACGGAAATTTTGTTAGAAATCTCTTTTACCAGATTTTTTGGACCACCGAGGTGCTACATGCATCGTAATACTGTCCTTCATCTAGATTTGCAGATATTACGATGTCATGACTTGCCTAAACAGGTGATTTCCTAAGTTTGTTCCATGATTTATTCTTATTCCGTAATAGCGCCAAACCAACGCGCTTTTAGTGTCCTTATAGAGCTTTTTCATCTGACGTCACTTCCGCCATGTTGGTGTCCCCAACAATGAAACGGCGGCCATGTTGGTGTCCTAAACCAGTCCCGTGTGGAAGTTGAACCTTTTTCTTTTGTTAAAGCGATTTTCGTACGACCTTGAAATGAAAACGCGCGAACGAAACAGACACAACAAACGAATGGCACTAGAGCCGTTTGATTGGTTTATCGAACGGATACAAACGCGCGTGGCTTTTGGTTGGTTAAGCGAACGCTGGGGTGAAAGAACTTCATCATGCCCGAGAACTTTCTAGAAATCAACAGATGCTTCGCTTTGACGTCATACTGCAACAAGACTAGCCAATCGAGCAATGCCTTCTCCAAATTAGGGTTTTCTTCGGCGGGAAAACGAAGAAGCAATGTTTTGATCTTTTAATCCACTGGCTGATAAAACAAATAATGAACACTTACCGAAACCTTTTTTCAAGGTCATACGAAAACCGCTCTATAAATGAGCCTACTAGTAAACTATACCTGACACAAGTCCATGACAACACTCTCGTGTACTTTTTGCCACAAGTGAGCTCTGAAAATCTGAATGAGTGAGATCTTCAGTGTTGGAATCTTGCCGTGCATGAAGATTCCGGTGAGATCAAGCTGAACCTGGAATCCAACGTAAACCTGCAAGAAATCACACAGAGATAAGGTTTGAGCAAGAATAGCGGTCAAAATGGCCGCAAGACATTTCGGATCATTACACGTTTCTGGGAAACTGCCCACCTACCCCTTCCCTAAGCCGACATTTTGCCCTAAGTGAGAAGTAAGTGTTGTTGACTTATGGGAGGGGTAGGTGGACAGTCAGGAAAACATAAGCTATACTTAAACTGTGAGTCACTTACATTGGCCCTGTTTATAGTGGGTGACCACCAGAGTGTGAATCGTCTGTTTGGAATCTGATTCAATCCAGAGCGCTGAGCGTTGGTCAGTTTTTTGTACTTCATGGACTCCTCAAATCCACTAGCTTTCTCCCAGAACAGACCCTCCCAGGTTGGGAAGTACGTTCCTTTGAAAAGTGTATGTTCCAAGATACCTTCCACGCCACCAAGCGCCTGGATCATGTCTGTGCGGTAGTTATTTAGATTCCACAGTTTGCCATCATGTCGCTGATGAGTCCACCAGAACGGATTCTGTTTGAGAACCTTTGGAACAACAAGATCCATGAGTAACTTTTTTGTAATTTTTTCTGCAGTTTTACGTTCAAGCTCGTGAAATTTGCGCACTAATTTGAAGATCATTCCCAGGATTTTACCTCAGCTAGTGTGATATAATTGTGAGACACACATAATGAACCCCAAACAACACAAGAAATAAATTAATTTCGAAACGTGATCAAACCGAAGAAGAGAAACATGAAAACGTCGTCATTCTGAAGTTTTCTAGTTTCAGTTCACTCGCTTCTAGACGTTAATCAGACACTCTTTAACAGTATTTACGTACACTACTATTATAGCAAGATCAAGCAACCCCAGGTGGTACTTTAACATTCTTAGTCATTTCTGACGCAAACTTTAGCCAGATTTTCAGAAACTACTCAATCTTGATGATACCGCCATTTTCAATGAAGGATAAACGACACTGTGATAGTTCACTCTACCTCATAATTTATTGTCCTGTTAAACTAGGCACTCAGTACTGAATGAACAAATTTTCGTTTTAAGTTAAAACATAATCTAATAAACTAAAGATAATTGTTTAAAGGTTTACCTGGTACTGCTTGAAATCTGTTCTAACTCTCCATCCCTTGTCATAAGCAAGTGTGTGTCTGTCCTTCTGGAACAGTGTGTTAATTCGAGGTATTCCACGATCCCACGAGTCCTCTAAATCCTCCAGGGTTAAACGTCTGGGGATGGAATCAACAGATAATATAAAGCAAACATTTTCTTTGTACAATTACCATAGAGAGAAGATACCNTCCATCCCTTGTCATAAGCAAGTGTGTGTCTGTCCTTCTGGAACAGTGTGTTAATTCGAGGTATTCCACGATCCCACGAGTCCTCTAAATCCTCCAGGGTTAAACGTCTGGGGATGGAATCAACAGATAATATAAAGCAAACATTTTCTTTGTACAATTACCATAGAGAGAAGATACCAAGAAGGTTATGGTTAACAATTATTAAGATAAGACCGCTAACAGTGGTTGAATATTAGGCTTGAAAAATATTCAAATGTTATCTGTATGTCCAGGTGCTAATTGTTGAAGGGGTCAATTTCGAAAGAAACTGTACTGTTGCGTTGTGTTGGTGGGGAGTGAAAAAAAAGCCTGGTTTGATATAGGTCAATTTACCACCATAAAACAATTCAAAAACTGACATTTTGAATGCCAAAGTGATGAATTGTAAGGAACATGGAGCAAAAAGTATATGTTAATCTCACTTTAACTTAAAAAAGACCATCAACACGAAGTAATGAAAACCACTGCATTGCCACATTACTACTGGACACAGGACACCAAATCGACAGCTTGCCCTGATTTTAGTCACCCAACATTTTTTCCACCCACCCTGGTGACTAGGCTCAATTTCTGTTTCTCTCTGTTCAGGGTAATCAAGCCTACATGGCAACAAAAACAGTTGCAACCTGGAGCGCTGTTAACACCTAGCGATGATGTGTAAGTCGTGTAGTTTAACATGGGTATTCTTATCAGAACGCAGTAGAGTGAAAGGTATGGGCACTCACCTGTTCTGAGCATTAGCTTCTTGTCGTTTTAACGCATACTCAGCCCAGACTCTTTGAGAGTCAATGAACTCACTCTCCCATGGTTGGATGTACCTGGTATGTCACCAAGAGAACAGCATTATAAACTTAATGAAAGTTGCCTTACCATTCATGTTAACTTGCTTCTGATTTTAAACTTGAAATATTCAATCCTGTTTTTTAAGGTTAGGTCTGAGGCTGGTTATTCAAACTCATGGAAGAGGAGAAAGTTTGAGAGAGCAATGTCACACCATCTGACAATCAGGATACGATTATCAGTGGTAAAGCCTAAGCAAGAGGCTAGCAACAAGCCAAAGACCATACGAGTACCCTATCAAAATATCTTTCGGAACAAATACACAAAAAAAGTTTTTGCTTTCTTAAAATTTCTAGAGTAACAATCCCTCCACTTTACACTTGTTGCTGAAATGATTTCTTTGAAGAAGAAGGAGGAATGTTACCTGTACAAGTTAGGGATCAACTGATCTTTGTCATGGCTCATTCCAGATCGGAAGTGAGTAATCCCTGCATCAGTTTGTTGAGACCACCTGGAGGCGAAAATTAGAGAAACATAGTATTATAGCACATTAATCTTCGAATAGCCTGTTCCAGGCTCCAAACTAGTTGGGTCTGCAAAATTGAGAAAGCGCGCATGCGAAAATAAAACAGGAGGAAACTGGGGAGAGAACGGGTGCCTCTCTCCCTTCCTTTTTCCCGCCACCACCCCTTTTTCCAGATCACGCGCTCATATTTTTGCATGCCTTTCACTTATGCATCATCCCTACTATCTGAGAACCTGGAACATGCTAATCTTCAAGGAGATTATTGCTTCTAAATTCCTGAGCGATCAAGAAAAAAAAGTGATGCTCTCATTTCTGCAATATAGCAGTAGGGCTGGGCTATACTCTTATCTTAAAACAAGCTTCTTTCATCAAAACTTGATAGTCTTGATTCAAACTGGGGAAATAGAAAAACAACAACAACAAATGGAAACTTCAAGTGACCTGAGATCTGACTGTGGAATAAGCACATGTCCCATGGACAGCATACCAAGACCACCAAGCTCTTTTGGTGTGTAAAACACAACTGGAGGGAAACGGCTGGGCATCTTGGAGTTCAGACCAATCTTGATACGTGTTTGAATCTGAAAGAAAAATAAATGGGTTTAAAGTTATGACAGAAATCCCCAAAAATGAGAAGGTCAAGGCCAAGCGAGTACAGGGCCAGGACAAGAATACACGAACACTTGATTACACAGAGGCAAACAAAGAAGAATGACTTCTGTAATTATGAACACTCACCTTGTTTTCACATTTGACCAACAAGTCCAGGAGTTCCTGAGTGTTGACAACTGACTCCCTGTAGTACGTCATCAAACCAATCAGAGCAGTGTTCCATTTGTTCACAATCTTTGTAAAAGTAGTTGAACCTGAAGCCATGAGAATCTGACGAACTCTGTTGTGGAATCTCTGCTGTGATTCCTCATCCACTTTTAGGAAGCACTGGGCAGTTCGCTCTTTGGTCACCTGCAAAATAATAAAAAGGAAAAGATCAGTCACAGGTAATAAATTATCTAATGATATTTTACTAGGGATTTGACTGTAAATTTATTGTACAGAACCCTAAAGTGCAGCATCTATGAGAACCAAGCTGACTTGCACATTAGCATTATGTAGCAGAGATTTCCTTGTCATCTTGGGGCAAGAGTAAGTTGTCAAAGCCACGACGAGCAAGAGCAAAACTTTGATGGTCAAACAATTGTGGAGACTATGACCACTGACCCTTAAAGTGAATTTTGAAGAAATCCAATCTAGTTCTTACCTTCTGTAGTTAATTGACTAAATGCTATTAAGTGACAACTTGAATAAAACATCTTTAAAAGAACTTTGCACAAAACTACCCAATTTTCAGATCCTGTCAAATCAAATGTTTGATTTTTTAACTTTGACATCTGACCCTTTCAGGTGAAAAGTGTAAAGTTCCCCTTCAAATCAAGTAAAACCCATTCTCTTACAAACAGGTTTGCAATTAGAGTTGCTTTGATAAAG